CATTGTTTTTTGACTGCTGTATAGTATTCTATAGAGTACATGTCCCATAATTTCTTTATCCATTCCTCCGTTGATGGGCATTTAGGTTGGTTCCAGGTCTTAGCTATTGTGAATTGAGCTGCAATAAATATTAAGGTGCAGACTGTTTTTTTGTTTGCCAATTTAATTTCCTTTGGGTAAATTCCAAGGAGTGGGATGGCTGGGTTGAATGGTAGGGTTATATTCTGGTTTCTGAGGAATCTCCAGACTGACTTCCATAGTGGCTTAACAAGTTTGCATTCCCACCAACAGTGGGTTAGTGTCCCTTTTTCCCCACATCCTCTCCAGCATCTATTGTTGGCAGATTTCTGAATGTGAGCTATTCTTTCCGGGGTGAGGTGAAACCTCATTGTGGTTTTGATTTGCATTTCCCTGATTGCTAGTGATCTTGAACATTTTTTCATGTGTCTGTTGGCCATTTGGATTTCCTCTTTTGAAAAATGTCTATTGAGGTCCTTGGCACATCTCTTAAGTGGATTGTTTGTTTTGATGTTGCGGAGTTTCTTTTTTTTTAAATTTTTATTTAATGAATATAAATTTTTAAAGTACAGCATATGGATTACAATGGCTTCCCCCCCATAACGTCCCTCCCACCCGCAAACCTCTCCTTTCTTGATTTCTTTATAGATTCTGGTTATCAACCCTTTATCTGTTGCATAGTTTGCAAATATTTTTTCCCATTCTGTCGGTTGTCTCTTCACTTTCCAGTTTCTTTTGAAGTACAGAAACTTCTCAATTTGATTCAATCCCAAATGTTAATTTTGTTTTTGACTGCCTGTGCTTCTGGGGTTTTTTTCCAAGAAGTCTTTGCCGGTACCTATATCTTGCAGGGTTTTTCCAATACTCTCTAATAATTTGATGGTGTCTGTTGGTATTTTTTAGTGGTAAGCCATGTTGAGTGGATGTTCGTGAAGGGAGGAGGTAGTTGTCTTGCTTCATGAGTCTGCACTTTTTCCTCCCACTTTTTCTAGAAAAAATTATTGAATAAACTGTCCTTACTCCAGGGATTGGTTTTAGATCCTTGATCAAATATGAGTTGGCTGTAGATGTTTGGATTGATTTCTGGTGTTTCTATTCTGTTCCACTGGTCTATCCATCTGTTTCTGTACCAGTACCATGCTGTTTTGATAACAACTGCCCTGTAGTATGTCCTGAAATCTGGTATTGTGATGCCTCCGGCTTTGTTTTTGTTGTTCATGATTGCTTTAGCTATTCGAGGTCTCCTGTGTCTCCATATGAATTTCAGCATCATTTTTTCCAGATCTGAGAAGAAGGTCTTCGGTATCTTGATTGGTATCGCATTGAATCTGTAAATTGCTTTTGAGAGAATGGACATTTTGATGATATTGATTCTTCCAATCCATGAGCATGGAAGATTTTTCCATTTTTTGGTAACCTCTTCTATTTTTTTCTTTAAGGTTTTGTAATTTTTGACTTCCAAAATTCTGTTTTAAGGTAATTTTGTATTTTGTTGGTTTCAGGGCTTCTCTATTTTCTTATTCTCTTTGGTAATATATTTTCATTTACTTTAATTTTTGCTCTTATCAAGAAATGAAATTTATATATAATTCATACCCACCCAAGAATATAGATTTGCTTCAGAAGTGGCTTTACATAAATACCATAAATTTTACTACATCACATTAACCAGCAGAAGTAATAAATATAATTTTCTAATTTTCATTGACGATTTTTGTTTGACTCATTGTTACTGTATTACCTAATTTACAAATATATGGTGTTTTCCATTGAATTTTTCTTGTGCATTTGTTGTGAGGAGGAAAAAATCAGTATGATTTCAATGCTTCAGAGTCTGAGGAGGCTCAGGTTCTGACCCAAGGAACTCAGATGCAGTAGGTGTCTGACCAGTGGCTGCTAGTGCAGCTTTGTTCTTTGTCCAGCATGATGATCCTTGAGTTCTTTTCTTTTTCAATACTGTTTTAGTATCCACTCTAATTGCACATTAGCGGCATATTTAAGTTTTGCATAGGGACTTTTCTTGAAAAGGTCAAGGAGTTCTGAATATTTCAAATCCCTTTTTCTCTGCCACAATGAGTAGTTGAAATAATGTGCTATCAAAAATATTATAGATGATTATTTTGTAAAGAAAAAGTATTTGTTAAGCTTTGCCTAAGCATTTATTTTTCCCATTCCCTTCTTTTCATCCCGACTCTCTAAACTACCCTCTGGCATATTTTTCCTTTCCTTGAAGAAATCTTTTAAAATTCACTTTCTTCCTGATCTGTAGTGAAAAGTTGTCTCAACTTTTGTTTATCTGAAATATGATAATTTTGCCTTTATATTTCAAGAATATTCTTATATATTTATTTGGTTATTTTTGGCCTTATATATTCATTTATATATGTGCATATATATGCATATACATTGTTATATTTTCTACTAGAAATTTTTAGCTTTTATTATTTTTATGACTTCTAATTTCAATGTCTAGAATAAAGAACTTAATTCTATTTCTGATACATGTTAGGTAATGTTTTCACTTAATTAGAAATTATTTCTTGGGGCTGGCACTGTGGCACAGTGGATTAAGCTGCTGCCTATGATGCTGGCATCCTTTATGAGTCCTGACTCGATTCCTGTCTACTCTTTTTCCAATTCAGTTCCTTAGCAATGTGCCTAGAAAAGCAGCAGAATGGCCCAAGTTCTTGGGTCACCAATGTGAGAGATCCAGATGGAGTTAGAGGCTCCTTGCTTATGCCATGTCCATTCTGAGACACTGCGGTCTTTGGGGTGTGAACCAGTGGATAGAAGATCTCTCTCTGCTTTCTCTCTTTGTCTCTGTCTCCCCTTCTATTTCTGTAAATGTGCTTTCGAATGAATAAATATATCTTTTAAAACATGATTTGTTTGTCCTTTCTCTTCTGTAGCTTTAATTTTTTGTTGCTTTATTTTGATGTTCCTAAATTTATTTGTTCTATTGATCCTTCTTTACTTTTTCAGCCCTAGAATATGGTGTCTTTCATGAGATTTAGAAAATTGTCATCACTTCGTTTTCAAATATTATTCTGCCTCTTTGTATAAGTTCTCCCCTTTAGAAACTTCCCTGAATATATATTAAAATTTAAAATATTAAAAATATATATAATATATATTAAAATTTTCCGCTATTGATCAATTCCACAATTTTCTATACTTCCTACTCTTTTCACTTTTGTCTTTGAGGATTTTGTTTTAATCTTTCAATTCACAATCTGGCTTTTGTTTCCATTTTCTGCTATTTCTTTATTTTTTTTCACAATTTTTAAAATTTATTTGAAAGACAGATTTGCAGAGAGAGGTAGATCCAGAAGGAGAGTCTCCATCTGCTGGTTCATTCCTCAAATGACCACAACGGCCAGAGTTGAGCTGAACTGAAGCCAAGAGACTGGAGCTTTTTCTGGGTCTCCCACGCTGATATCAGGGACTCTGCTTTCCCAGGCCATAGCAGAGATCTGAATCAAAAGTGGAGCAGCTGGGACTTGAACTGACGCCCATAGGGGATGCTGGCACTGCAGGCTGGGGCTTTAACCACTGCACCATGGGCAACCTCTACTTTTCTACAATAATGCTAAAGCCATCTATTGGGATCTTAATTTATTATTGTGTTTTCATTACTGCAACTCCCATTTGATTAGCTTTTATATTTTTAAACTGTCTTCTGAAATGTGTCAATCGGCCGTTTGTTATCGTAACTGTTTTTGAAGCCCATACTTCATAACTCCAAAATATGTGTCTCTTAGAGATCCTATCATGTGTACATGTCTGGATGTGTGCATGTAGTTCCTTTAGTTGTCAGGCAATTGTTATTGTTTTATTATTTTGGCTGGTTTGTCCCCTGTGCTGGACACTGCCATTGAAATTTAATGAGAAAATTTGTGTCCATAGATATACTGTCTTACTACAGGGAGAATTAATATTTACTCCAGGCAGTCAGGTTGGAAACATATCACCTTAGTTCAAAATGGGGATTATAGTTATTCAAAAGTGGGCTGAAGTCTTTGTGAGCTCATTTATTTCTTCATTACAAAACCCATTTTGTGTGTTTTCATGCTCCTAAGTGAAACATGGAGTTGTATATCATGGCCTCTTCAATTTGGTTAGTCATCAACTAACATTTTTCTTCTCTGATTCCACAGTTCTACCAAAGACTCTTCCTATTTTCTCAACACTTGAACTAGATTTTTCAATATCCTCTATTTCTTTGAGTGGAAAAACATTCACATATTTCATACTTAGTCTATGATCACCCTTCTTTCCTGGGTTTTTATTTCATGAATCTCAAAACTCTTTTAATCTGTGATGCTATCAAACATGTTTTTAATGCTTTATTCTTTTATAGTAATTCTCAGCAAGAAAGAATCACTTTCCATTTGCTACCTTGAAACTTCCACTTGCATGCAATCAAAAGAATTTGAACTCTTTGTTTGTTTGTTTGGTCTAGGACTCTGTCATGAATCTTCTTCAGGACAATGCTTTGGTTACCATGCCAAATACTTCATTTATATATTATTCCTCATGTGTTTAGATAATTCTATGCATACTCATGAGATAAATATTAAAAAATAAGTTAAATATTTTTTGCAGAATTCTCAGAAATTACTATCAGATGATCTCTTACTCATTATTTTGTTTCATTTTACACAGTCCCAAATTACCTTTGTAGAAAATGACTGATGCTAAGAGAAGTGAGCAGGATAGAAATTAGAGATATACAATGAAAAATACAGAGGAGTAAATCTTACGGAAGTGATAAAAGGATTGCTATGCGCTATAATTGTTTTAACTTATAAATGCTCTTATGGGGGATTGATTCCATTATACTAAAATTGCAGATCCTGGTGAGTATTCACTAACTTACACAGTAACTCTATGTAAAATGCATGTATGAAAATACATATCTGGTCTTTAGTTTGTATCTGAAATGAACCATTTTGTTCATTTTATTTATTATTATCTTTTAGATCAGAATATTCTTCTGCAACTGAAAGAGACTTCACCATGGATTTTCTATCTGCCTTTGAATTTTGTGAGGCAGCAGAATATCGCCCATATTTTGAAAGTACAGTGGAAATACTACTAGGGTTCCCACATAGGCCACTCACAGACCAAGATGCAAACATTCTCGCCCCTGACTTCAATTTATACGAAAAAGCACATTTGACTTCAATAAGAACACTTTCAAGAGTAAATAAAATGACAGGTATGATTATGAATTATAATGTGAATAAAACTTAAATGAATTAGTCAGATATGATCTGAATACATTTAATAGTTCATTCAGCAAGAATTATTAAGTATGTACTCTATTTTATGTTAGTGGAAAGAAATTATGATAAAGATGTTTAACATTCCAAGAACTCATAGCTTAATACATAAAATTCATATATAAATTATCACAACACATTTTCACTGATAACTATATTCAAAATGTAAGTTTATTGTAAAGCATATGAAAAAAGCATATGTTCTACATATAAATGATAGAGTTTGTGTTTTGATACCCTGTTCCTCTAGTCCACCTCAGTTTTTCTTTTTCTCCTTTTTTAAATTTGAGAGACAGAATGACCGCAGGAGACATAGAGCACCCTCCCATTTTCTGGGTCACTCCCCAAAAGCCTTCAATAGCTTGGGATGGTCTGGACAAAACCAGGTATTGAGAATGCAGTTCAGGTCTCTCTCATGGGTGGCAGGATCCCACTTACTTCAGCCTTTACAGCTGCCTCCCAAGGTCTGAATTAGCAGGAAGCCAGAGTCAGGAGGGAGAGCCAGGAATTGAACCCAGGAACTCTAGTGTGGGATGGCAGGTATCTTAACTGCTAAGCTTCACACCCATTCCCTGGCTCCTTATTTTTTCAGGACTGTATTTGTCCTGAATCTCCTACTCTTTTCTTTCTTTCCAAGTGAAACTCCAAAATGTATTAATTGAATTAAGCACCAGTATGTTGTCTCCAGGCAAGACATCACTTGTGAACACTAATACTACAAAAATTTTGCTTTCACATTATACAGATATTTCACATTTTCCATATCAAGCTGTTACGTTCAACCATAAATTGTTCTCCTAAGTAATGATGTCCTATCCATTTCCCCACTTCTAAGAGTTGGTTCTATTTCCTCCTCTCCAATATCTGGATTTTCCAAGGCAAATCCTTATAATTTCTCCCCTGGATTTCATCACTATCCCCTTCTATTCCCTGATAAGATTCTGTCAAACCATCATCAATATTTCCTAGTTCCTGTGGGAATAGCCTTTGTAAAATAAATATCTTTTTATGTGTCTCTTCTTAAAGTTTTCTGAAATTTATCCTAATAGCAGTCTGGCTTTCAGATTAAGATTCCATCTCGTTCGTCTGTGAAAACGGGGTCCTTCATTACCTCCTGTCTCCCCATACTCTGTGTTCGAAGGACTGCTGATCCCTAACTGTCATGCCACTTGGAATCCACCTCCCCTCATTATTTGCATGACAAATTCCTGTTCCTCTTTCAATTTTCTGTTGGCTTAGTTTTTCTGACTCCTATCCTGATCATTCAGTTGTCAAACCTACATCAGTATAAAGAACTGCCTTACACTTCTTTTACTAATGGGGGATCTCTTCCATTATCATTTTCATACTGTGTAATCATGTAACTATAATGATTTCCTTCTCAGTTTCCCCTTACAGACTGGAAAGTATATGACTTCTTCTTGTTTCTCTAGTGCCTAGGCTAAACACTGAGTGACTATCCTGGGTCCAGTGCAAATCATTGAAATACAATTACAACACAGGAGGAGATGTACGAGGTTGATTTTTCCATTTAGTACATGAATCTAAATCAGAGGAGGGGAAATAGTTGTCCCAAGGAAGATGAGAAAAGATAGGGAGCTGATAAGAGTTCCTATGAATTGCACAGTTATCTAGTATTTGTTCTTACTAAAGGAATGCTAAGGGCTTTTTAGTGGGCGACCGATGTGATTTTTCAGATTAAACAACTAAAAATATTAGGAATATTGGAGAGTAAATTGTAACAGTGTGCATCTAGAATTATTGCTAGCACTTAAAAATGCATTAATACACCAGTATCAGTGGGAGTTTATGTGACAGGACAGATGTGAACGGGCACAAGATCATCAGAACCATAGGACGTGATGGCTACATTTGAGGAGAAGGAAGGACTGACTCAGTCAGTTTTTGTTTTGCTGAAAGAGTGTAAGATGGTGTCATCCACTGAGATAGAGAATAAATTAAGTAATATAGTTGAAATGGAAGTAGAAAGATCAGCTACAGAGAGAGCCAGTTATATAGTATTTGTTGAGCATCATTTAAATGATGGATATTAGGGTTAATGTCTAGACATATTTAATGTCTATAGACATTAATAACAACAGCACAAAATGGGTGACACTACACTCATTTTTAGTGAAAAGACCCATAAAAGTTAAGTTAGTTGTCTGAAGTCAAACTTTATTTAAATCTGAATTAGTGTTAAACCAGTAGCTGTTTAACTTTAGGCTGTGGGTAATTGTTTACTTCCTTGAAAATATTAAACTGCCAATGGCTTAACAAATAATATTCATTAACGCTCAGCATTTTAGAATTAGAACTGTGTACATACGTTAGTTTCAATCTACTTTTCCGTGAAATAACTCGGAGTCTTGGGGCATTAATTTACCAAATATTACTCAGTTTCAGTGAGAGTTGGAGAAAAACTATGTCTCTTTTTCCCCAGGAAGATATTCTCTCCAATAAATGAAACCTTTTAAGCAGGAATAGGAAATGGCTTACCATGGATCTTAAAATATTTTATTCTATTTGAAATAAAATAATCATTTAAAAAATTTATCCTTTATTTATCCCATATAATTTTGTGACTAAAATATCGTTCATTATTCAATCATTTCTGAATAGGTGTGATTCTAGATTAAGGTAAAGGGGTTCTTAAATTTTGCTGTCATGCTACCCAATACTACACATTTTCTTACATAATTTGCTAAATCTAATGGTCAAGTGGAGGTACTAATATAATACATTGTATAATTTAAAATTTTAATTAATTTTGTGTACTAGATTTTTAAATTATATTCATATTTTCATAACTAACTGAAAACATAAATACTTTTATTTTCCCAGGTGGCTTGTTATTAACATTGTGGAAGAAGCTCATGAGTTTATCAGAGGTGAATAAGGCCTTTGGACGGTTCCTGATCAAAAGGCTATTCTTAATACCCGATTTTTAGAACCTTAGATTTTTGTTGTCATAAATATATTGGTCAATTTAAAAGCATAATAAAAAATCAATGTCATAATTACTATTTTATGAAACTTTCTCTGTTCCTTTTGTCCCCTTTGCTTCTTTGAATTTATGAGTTTATCAGGCAATGATTTTCCTTTCCACTCTGTGTTCTGGTTAAAGCCTAATTAGTCCTATAGAATGACCACGTTATATATGATTTAGAAAGTCTTATGTTTAAACCTATTTAAGGTTTTGATTTTTTTGCTCAGTCCTCATTCATTGACTATCTAGTGAAGGGGGCCAAGTTTTCCTTGATAGATTATTCTTACAAAATACAGCTTTAATACAAGATCATATATACTAAGTGCTGGGTCTTAGTCCACCCGAACGAAGATGGACTGGGTTCGAAGAAAGGTAAGTGCGCCACTTGCCCGTTACCCAGCCTCTGGATCCTGGAGACAATCAGACACAGCAGGGAGTCAAGTCAAGCAAGCAAGAACTCAGTTTATTGCACGTGTAGCAGAGCTTTTTAAAGCACAAGACCGTAGGATTACTGGGGCAGGGCATAAGGACCAACCAATTACTTAAAAGGTCATTTTGCAGGGTTACTTTTTACAGGACCAGCCATATGTCTGTACACTCATCATCAGTTGTCACCTCCCCTGATGCTGCGCGGCCAATCAGCTTTGGTGGTAAACGACTTTGGGCACCGCCCACCTTACTTCCTTTGGATGCCATCTTTGAATTGCCTCCTGTGCCTAATTTCCCCACACTAAGTATTTATATCCCAGGATTGATCTCAAGGTACTTTGTAGTATGAGTACAATTGTCCTCCCATAATATGAAAGAAGCTTAGTATTTGACTGCTGCTTCAGGGATAATTTTAGCCATCCCCTAGGAAATTTATGAGCTACTCCACTGCAAATAACCCAAAGTTACAATTTCCTTTGTTTCTTTTCTCTTTTTTCTATATTGAAGCCCCATATATATATTTATATATTTTTCCATATATATATATAAGTATACATATAAAGCATTTATTGAAGATAAGAGTTGGAAATTATCTAAAAATTACCATCTTCAGATCTTTGCTGATGTCATTAATAAAAAAATTATTGGGAAAAATATATTCTGATGGCTGCAGGCACCAGCTGTACATTTTCCCTAAAATGTATGCCTCTATTTTCCCTCAAATTCCAGTATTTTCTAGCTACCTCCTTAGCAAAATTATCCCTTATGTACTGAAATGACACTTTTTATGTTGTCAGTGTTATTAAGAGAAGGTTTGGGGCTGACAACTGTGGCTCAGCAGGTTAACACCCTGGCCTGAAGCCCTGGCATCCCATATGGGTGCCGGATCAAGACCTGGCTGCTCCATTTCCAATCCATCTCTCTGCTATGGCCTGGGAAAGCAGTACAAGATAGCCCAAGTCCTTTGGGCCCTTGCACTCATGTGGGAGACCAGAAGAAGCTCCTGGCTCCTGGTTTTGGATTGGCACAGCTCTGGCAGTTGGGGCCAATTGTAAAGCGAACCATCGGATGGAAGACCTCTCTCTCTCTCCTCTTTCTTTCTCTCTCTCTCTTTCTCTCTCTCTGCCTCTCCTCTCTGTGTAACTCTTATTTTCAAATATATAAAAAAAATTTTTTTTTAAAAAAGAGAGAAGGCTTCACTAAGCAAATCTGATATTAAAAAGTCAAATAATAGACCAATCAATGTCCACATAAAATTGAAATATTTTTATATACAGAAATAAAACTATTAAGGGAATTGAGACAATTAAAAAGGAACAAGTATGCAACAAATATATAAGGGCTTGATTTTATACATAAAGAAATATTACAAATTATTAAGGAAAATACCAAGGGTCCAGAGAAAATTGGTTAAAGAAGATGAAAAGAACATGCACAAGAAAAAAATGTGTGTGTCATAATGTTTAAAAATAGATATAATATAAATATTTGAAATAAGAGTACTAGCAAATCTGTGAG